ATCTGTATAGAAAAAAAAAACTTCTATTTAGTAGAAAAGTTGAAATTTGGAAAGAAAAAAAAAAGGAAAAAAATAATTTAAATAATGTGTCACGTCATGAATTTGATAAGTAGGTTTGTGGGGCCATGATAGGTGTTAAGAAGTCAAAAGTCAACGATTTTGTTTAAAATCTGGACCGTTAATTAAGAGTTGAACGGAATTAGACCGACATTGGATAATGATGTTTAATAAAATAGTAAACTTTGGACTATAATAAAAACCTATTTTGGTCTTTCTTGATTATGATTTATGAGAAATTTCATATCCAGTAGTACTGAACGATGTGGTCGGATGATCGGAATTTTTACACACGTTTAATTAGAGATCTTAAATTCCTTTTTTTTGGTAAAAGAAGGAAATAAGTACCCTTTAGTGGATAATGGCGAAGATAAGATTCTCATCCATGAAATTTTAACATTTACTATATACCATAAACATTTTTGTAACAATCATTCTTTCTACAACAACATTTCATTATAACGGATAAGTTCTTTTTAGAATAAACTTTCATGTTATTTTAGATAATATGTTCTCTATAACAACATTTTGCTATAACAATCAAAAGTAACTGAACAAACGATAATGTTTGAAAGAGATTGGATTAAATACATAAATAGATATTTAGATTATCGAGATTCATTGATTCGAATGAGCTCTTCGACCCTTCTTGATTCACCTTGTTAGTAACCTTAAATGAGATAGAACTTGGAATTTGTGGTCTATAGATATCATATCGTTAAACTCAAAAGAAAAAAATTATATCTGATAAATCTTTTTAATTCAGTAATTGAATGAAGATATTGCTTGACAATTTAATTTAGATGCTTAATTATTTCTCTTGGTCATATACAAAAGTTCATCAAGCTCTACCAACCCAAGAAAAAAAAAAAAAAAAAAAAACTTAGTCAATTATTTCATCCATACATGATGAAATACGTGTATATCATTTATACTTATTTTTTCTTCATTTTATACTTACTTTTATGTTTTCAAATTCTTATAATGTCAATTTAGTTTTTAAAAAATCGATGAAGTGATATCAGATGAAGTTGTTTATTTTAAGATGCCTAAGTTAACTTTTCGAATTCAGTTAGATCCAACATTTATTTTAACTCAACTCATTTTAAATCGTTTAAATTTAATTGAACATCATTATCCCTGACCAATAGAAGAGGAAAATCCATTCACATGGACTTAGACTTAGACTTTAGAAAACAAAAAAAGAAGGTAAAATTGAAAAGGATTAATTAGAAGAATTCAAAGAGGTTGATGGTGGTCCCTTAAGACCAACCATATAGTTGCTTCCTAATTTTGGACAATTCTTCAATATAATGATCATAAGTCAATTACTTAATTAACCACTCCACTAAATATTTTAATTAATTAAGAATAAAAATGAGTTAGACTTCTAAACTACTACTTAATTAACACCTTTGTTTGTCAAAGTTTTCATTAAAAAATATTTCGATCGCAAAGTAGATTAGAAGGCGTTAAAAATAAAGAAATCGTTGGAATTATATTATCATTTTTTACCAAGTCTTAATATAAATGCAATAATTATTTTTGGTCGTAGGAATTCTTACCCCAAACCAAAATTTGAATGTATCAACGGAGCAATTCAATGGTAATCATAATATTAGTCGGACCATAGTATATATTTATGGTCAATTCAAACTAGACAGACTCAAAAATATCTTGGCACGTCGTGCTAGTGTATTTTTCGAAAACACTTATAAATTTGGTGTGAATTATTAATTTCATTTTTAAACTATTGACAGTCTTAAAAACACCATTTTACTTGGTTAACTGGACATAAATGCATCCCCGATCTTGCAATATCAGTGAATACACTCCTAAATTCTGACCAAATTTAGGGGTGTTTTCAACACTTCTATCGATTTTTTATTAAGAGTTTCATGCTCCTATAAGAGTTTGAGACCATTTGCTATATCATGTGGCAGATCGAGGGTGTATCTAAGTTTAGTTAGTCAAGTGGATGGATATTTTTAAAACTATCAATAGTGTTCAGGAATAAAACTAATAATTTACGTTAAGTTTAAATTAAAAGTGTTTTCAATACTTTTGAGACATTGAAGCTCCATTTCATCCGTTTTTGTTTCAAATTATTTCCTTTGAATGAAATTATATTATATCTTACACAATAAAACACACATATTAAGCATTAAATGTTCATAGTCAAACTCAAACACAATTAAAACATTCAAAGTAGGGTGTGAAATGTAGCTTCAAATTAGGGGTGGAAAAATCAGCATATGAAATCATGGTTCGTCTAATTTGTTTAAGTTTGAATTAGCCAATGACCTACTTATTTTACTAGCTTCGCTCCATTTGATCCACTTAATTCAATATATTTTTTTATATATAAAAATAGGGTTGACATACAAGAAATTTTATTTACAAATTTTTTAAAAATCTTTTTTTTTTATTTGATCTGTTATATATTGTATAATATAAGAAAATAAGTATTATTGGGTACTCAAACAAATTATAAGAAAACAAACAAGGAATTTAAAATTTAGTAAAAATTGGACGAATTAAGTTATAGCCAAATTTTAAATCCTTTTAGCTCATATAACTTTTGGACGGATTAATATCTCCTCTTATTTATTAAATTCAATCGGTTTTCATATGATCAAATTCAATTCACTTAGCTTATTTGATATCCCTACTTAATATATATATACACATTTCTAGCTGAATATCAATATTTAACTATACATAAAGTTTAATGAAGAAAGAAAAAAAATATGTACTTGCAATATAAACCAAGACATACATATTAATATGACTACATTCATCTCATAATATGCAAAATATACCATTTGAAATTAAATAATTTCTAAATAAGAAAATATGATATATAGTATATATATTTTTAAAGTGACCTAATAAAAAGGAAAGTACCACACAAATTGAATTAGAGAGAGTAATAATCATCACGAGTCGTGATTGAATAGATAATTAAATCTCGTTATCTTTAGCTAGAAACATCAAATTCGGAAGTCTAACACATAAAAATAATATAGAAAAAATAATAATCATCACGGGTACGTCATAAAAAATATCAAACTCAAATAATGAAAATGAAAAAGACCTGAACGCTTATTTCTTTAATGAAATTTATATGATACAAATTCAAATCAATCGAAATCCGAAATATATACAATCAAACACTAAACAAACTATAGAACAAGATAAGCCTGGATCAAAGAAGCAGTGTGGTAGCTAAGCTGACACATCTTTAAATTCATCTAATCTTGAAAAAAGTGTACATTATATAGATATAGTCCTTCCCTTTCATCATCATCATCTAGTTAGGACCACAATTCAAAAAAATTGTACCATATATGCAGCATGCATTATATTATATAGTGTGTGTGTGTGTAGACTGTTGAAAATCTACTCAATATAAACAAGAATGATTTGTATTTGCTAAACACCAACAAAATAGTACTGCCACATCTAACTTATAATATAGCATCTTCTAGCTACTAGTATTTAAGGTTCGAAAATCTATTGACCTGATTAATTCAGATTCATATTGTGTAGCCAGATAAAATTATTGTTGTTACAAGTTGAAGTAGTGAGTTTTGAATTTTGAATGTGAAAATTGAGTATGAAATAGGTAGATGTTGTTGGAAAAACTTGAAAATATCGGCAGGAATGAAGATTAGTATTCAAACTTTTTTTTTGATATAAATTTTTCCAGATCGTCTGGGGTGTTATAAATCAGGAAGAAAGTTATAAGAAGACTTGACCTTAGCTTCCGATTATAACGCAAAGATAGACAACTTTATCCTTCAAAAATGAAGGGAGGTGAAGCTAGAAAAAATAGACATTCCACCAGCCAACAAAATCGTGTTTGAAGTTTGAACTTGACAAATCAAACTTTAAATACAATTAGAGAATAAGTGGAAACATTATTGATCGTGTTTCAATAGGGTAGGTAAGAAAAAAAGATGCCAAAAACTGAAGTTAAATTTTTTGACTCAATTCATTTATGTGGCAGAAAAGTGTACATAATTTATTTATTTTGGAGCTTTATGACATTCTGCTTTGGTAACTAATGTAAAAAGTAAAAAACTATATAGTTCCTAGAGTAAGAAAAATGAACAGTTACTAGTTACCTTGGTCCGTTATGTTTTATTTACCGTACCAATAAAAACTATTTTTGGAAACCTCGATAATAATTTGAGATGGAGAGAGTATAAATTTAGAGATAAGTAAGAAATAAAGGAAGACTAAATATTTAGAAGCAATTGGAAATATATAATTTTTCACATCTTTTATAATATTAGTTGAATTCATTTCAACACTATATAATAATAGAGGTGTAAGAGTGGAAAATACTTACATGTATCAGGTAGTTATATCAAATTAATTCAATTTACTACGGTTAAGATGCAAATACATATTATGCATTTATCAGTTTGGTGACAATACTGAGCTAATTGACCTCCACCTTGAGCAAAATCATATAACACTCATTATAACGACATTTCACTATAACAATCTCATTACATAACATGCATTTTTTAAATTTTCGTGTATCGTTAATAATCAAATAATCAAACCAATTCAAAACCAAAATCAATAACAACCAAATTGATAAATGTATATTATATATGATTTGGTTTGGTTTCAATAATTTAACAATCAATTAAATTGATTTGATTCGGTTTTGACCAATAACCAACCCGTGAGCACCCTTAATCACGACATATAATTTGAGACGGAGGAAATATACCTCTATTGTTCTTCACTTATTGAAAAATCCATCACAATTCAATGAAATTTCTTCCAAAGTCCAACAAGGGTAAAATATGTACATTCATTCATTCATATGTTAAAAGACAAACCAAAATGTGTGGTACATTTCAAGTAAAACAACAACAAAATATCAAAAAAAAAGAAAAGGTAAATCACTATTGTCAAATTCCTTCTTTTCATTTCAACAATAGTAGAATAACCATAAATAGTTCAACTACAAAACATCTCCAAATCCCACAATCATTCAAATATCCCATTGAAGATTGAAAATCCACAAAACTTGAGTTCATCTCAACATCAATAACAAACTTGAGTTCTTGTTGACATTGTTTTACCCCAAATGGAACATCACTTGACACCAAACCAAAAGTGTAACATAAATTTTGATTCCCCCATGCCCCAAATCTCCTTCCCATTTTCCTATAAAACCATTGAGAGAATTGAAGTTCACCTGTCAGATTGTTACCATATAGGTAAATAGCACTTACATTAGGCAAATTTTCAAGATTTTTTGGGATTTTACCAATGAGTTTATTGTCATTAAGTCCCAAAAATCTTAACTTTTTTAACTCTACTATAGACTTAGGTATCTCACCTGTCAAATTCATGTTTGACAAATCCAAAGTTGTTAACTTTATCATGTTATACCAATCAAGAACATCCAAGAATCCACCCATTGGGTTGTTTGACAAGACTAACTCCTCCAAACATGTCATTTCTTGAATTGACTTGGGTAATCCACTTGATAACTTGTTGTTACTAAGGTCTAAAAGTGTTAAATTCTTCATTTGTGAGATCTCTTGTGGGATTTTGCCTTGTAAGTTGTTGCAACTCAAATCAAGTTTCAAAAGTGAGATCAACCCTCCAAATAATGATTTAGGCAAGACACCAGATAGTTTGTTTCTGCTTAAATCACATATCAAAAGTTGAGTGAACCTTCCAAAAGTATCCGGGATTTCGCCGTTGAGTTTGTTTCCAGCAAGAACTAGTCTTTTCAAGTTCACTAAATTCCCAAGACTTTGTGGCATTTCACCAGAGAGTCCATTTTCTACCAGTACTAAAGATTGGAGCTTTATGAGTCTACCAAATGTACTTGGGATTTGGCCAATGAGACCGGGATTTGATCGAAACTCGAGTGACTCCAAACTACTAGCAAGAAACTCCCACCTCTCTGTTGGGATTGAAGTTGGATGATGGCGAGGCAACACGAAACAATTGAAAAATGTGAGAGATTTTAGGTGCTTTAATGTGAATAGATTGGAGCTGAATTCCACATTTGGTGCACAACTTAGAGAATTATCATGTATAGGTCCAATGTTTAAGTCAGTAACATACCAAAAACCATCAAACAGGTCACAAGATACACCCTGGACAGAGGAAATAGAAACAAAACAAATCAGAAATATGAGTATAATGCATCAACTATACTACTTTTCCGTTTCAATTTGTTCGTCTTACTTTCTACATGATATGTTTAAAGCCACAAGATTAAAGAAAACTATGGTACATTCTTTAACTACGTGTCAAGTTAAAACCAGACAAACAAATTGAAACGAACGGATTATATTTCGTATAAGCTCTGTCCTGTCCTGTATTATCATTGTGTTTTAAAACATATTCTGTCTCTGTTGGTCTGTCAAAACTGCTAAACAAAACAAGCCAAGATTGTACTGATGTTCATTATTGAAGTTTGGTTCATCAAACTTCTATGGCTAATTAGCTATCATTCCAAATATACTAAATCTGAAAGAAAAAAAAGAACTTATCAATTTCTTTGATTATCTGTCATAGTATAAAATCTCCACTCAAAGCTTTCAAACAATCTATATACAATGAGAAGTCATATCTTGTCATGTATACCACAAAATATTAAAAAGGACAATTAGAACCATATGCACAAAAAAGTTAGTTTTTTTTTATTTATTTTTTTACCTTTTACTAAACAGAATCCATAAAGCAGAAAAGTAACTAAAAAGTGAAAAAATTGTGTTACCTGTATAGGAGTCCAACCACAAGGATCTGGATAAAGATCTGAACCATTCCACCATTTACCAACAAAGCCTTGAATGGTTGAGTAAAGAGAATTTATCTCATTTTTCTCCATTTGAGCTCCCATGTTTTCAGTATCACCATTGCACCAAACACCAAAATGGAGGAGAAAGAAGATAACTAACACACACAATCTTGAATTCTTGAAACCCTTCATCACTTTTTGTAGACAAAAAAGTTTCTTGAAAATGAGTTGACAAATTCTTGGAAGTTTAGAACTTTGTCACATAGACAAACTAGTTAGAATTCTTGAAGACCCCTATCTTAGCTAAATTTTCTTGAAAATGAGTACACAAAGTGCTCAAAGATAACAACTTTATCACACAATGAGTTCACAAAGTGTTAAAAGAAAACAACTTTGTCACACAAACAAGTTCTTGAAGACCCCCATCACTCTTTTGAAGCTAAAATTTCTTGAAAATGAGTACACAAAGTGATCAAAGATAACAACTTTATCACATAAACAAACTAAAATCTTGAAAATGAGTTAACAAAGTGTACAAATAAAACAACTTTATCACACAAACAAGTTCTTGAAGACCCCCATCACCCTTTCAAACCCAAAAAAATGCTTGAAAATGAGTTGAGTTGACAAAATCTTGAAAGTAATAAACTTTGTCAACTATGCAAGAAAAGTGTTTAAAGCCAAACTAGAACTTAAAACATTGAAGAAACTCCAAGAGGGGTATCTTAAAATGCTTTCATTTCATAAATATAAAAAAAAATGTACTTTTTTGTTTTATTGGGGCTGTGGTGGAAAATGGTAAAAGTATCCAATCAAACAGGGAAATGGAGGGAACAAAGAAGTAAAGAAGGAAGGTGCTTGTTAAAAATGTTTATAGAAAGCTAAGGTAGAAAAAGAGAAGAGTAGAGTGGCAGAAAGCCAGAAGGGAAACACAGAGGACATAACACAAGTCTAGGATCTTTGCACCTAAAAAAAGCCTATTATTGCACACTTCTCAATGCTCCACATTAAAAGCAATTAAGGGAATCTCAACTAAAACAGTTGTGATTTTTTAAAGTTTTCATAAAACAAAAATTTATGATTGAATATATGTGGTGAGATTCAAAAATTGACACAAATTTACGCTTAGACACTTTAATTAAGTCATAAGTCATTAGCATCGCATAAAAACATTTCTCATAGAGTAGTTGTTCCTTCAATGTACTCTACGGATAAAGGAATACATAAAGTTGAACATAGCAGAATAAAAAATTGTAAGATTTCATTGAATTGTACCTTTTTATTGACTTAGCAATTTGCGTGATTTTCAGGGCTTAATTAAGGTGTTTTAGTGAAAAATTCGTATCGATTCCAACTGTGTCATATTTGAACTTTTGAAGTGTGGCATTAGTAACTAGTAGTACGACTGTACTAGTGAAGAATGTTGAAAGTAATGGTTAAAATATAAAGGAGTAAACGTATGGAAAGATCTAAAGAATGTAGAGAATATAATTAACTGATAATAATGTGCTCTTTAATTCTGACTTAAACTTTAAAATGAGATGGTCACACACTTCAACATAATATCAAAACAGACAGAGTTTCTGAGATGAATCACACAATCATGCATATCAAAAAGAATTTTTACGTGTTTGGCCCGTGAAAGAGAATCAGGCTTGAATGTGAGGGGCGTGTTGAGAATATAATTAACTAATAAAAGTGTATTCTCTCTAACAACATAAACATTTTGATAAGATGATCATATACTTCAACGAAGAATTCAACATGTAATTCAGTGTAATTCTATAAGTGATGTCTTAGGAGGGTAAACATACACAGTCTTATCCTTATTGATTGACTCTCGACAACCTTCTTCTCTTGTCAAGCTTGAAATTCGAACACATAAAATTTAAATTATAAATCCGCCTCTGAATTTACCTAACATAGTAAGTAGGTAGGATTTCACTCTTTTTTTCACCTTTCTTGATTTTGTTGGAGGTTAGGGGGACCATGATGTTAGGGAAGGTGCATGTAAATGCATGAAAGACAAAAGTAGTTTTTGTCTTTGGGTGAATGCCTTTGTGTTGTTGGATTTACATTTTTAACAGATTGAAAAGACAATACATAATTCAATAATCTTTAGAAAGTGCTTCATTACTTTTTTTTGGAACTTGATCTTGCTTTGACATAGCTTTAGATTTAGTAAAAATATATTCCAAAATATTCAGACTAATTTAATATTTTACATTACTTTCCCAAGTCTAAAAAATTTAATTTTATTTAACTCAAAAATACAGTTAAAATTTGACTTATTAAATTTGACATCTTTTTTGTTACTAATCTCTTAGTCATAGTTTGTGTGACATTTTCTTTAAAAGTGAAGTATTGAAAACGCTCAAGAATTTGACGTAAATTATTAATTTCGTCTTCGAACTATTGATAGCTTTAAAAACACTCTCTACTTGACAAACTAAACTTTGATACACCACCAATCTGCTACATAAATAGCAAGTGTTCTCAAACTCTTGTACGTAGAAGCATGTGACCATTAATAAAAAGCCGTGAAAAGTGTTGAAAACACTTTTAAACTAGGTGAGAATTTAAGGTGTATTTCACTCATGTTGCAAAATCGAGGGTGTATTTAATTCAGTTAGTCAAGTAATGGGTGTTTTAAAGCAATCAATACTTCGGAAATGAAACTAATAATTCGCATCAAGTTTAAGAGTGATTTTTCTTAATGTTTTTTTTAAAAATGATACACTCTAAATAATTTTAAAGTTTTTATTTACTCGTAAGGGGATAACTATAATCAAACCAATATTTATTACCGTTTTACAAATACTAATGATTTTTACATTTCCACTTATTTTTTTCGTGTATAAAACTTGGTATATATTTAAAGTTGATGCAATGATTGCAATAAAGTCCTTTTTATGACCTATGAGTATTCATTTTCCCTCCTTAAATGAAAGTAGGGCAAGACGATAAATAATGATCTTCAATTATTCAAGAAAATAGATGTACCAATCTGGCTTGTGGTGATCGGTGCGGTAGCTAAGATCCATCTATCCTTAATTAAGGATTTTAAATTCAAATTTTCAAAATAAAAAAAATCTTATTGAAAGTATCAATCTCAAAAATGAATTATACAATGAATAAATATGAATTTAGTCGAAGACTCAATACATACACTTGTCATCATATGAAAAAAAATATGAAGATAAATATATGAATATAAATTCATTTCATTATATTACTAGCATTATGTAAGAGTAGGGAAGTAGTATGAACATAGAGTCCTTATAATTTTGCCTACATGGGCCCAGTACTATTTACAGTATAGTCCCCAATAATTTTCTTGTTTTCAATTTTTTTCTCTTAATCTTTTGAAAAGTGATTAACACTTTTTACTTTGAGCATGGACTGTAGAAACGACACTAATTATAGTGATTAAAGACCTAGAAACCCAAATATTTTCTTTAACATAGATCTTTCTTTTACTTGTAATTTGAAAAAAAATAAAAATCGTTAAAATTGAAAAATTACTTCACCAAAAACACAACTGATCCATCAAATTCTAATTTAGAAGAATAAAACAAAAAATAAGAAAAAGAAGTTCATACTCAGAAGATCAAAAACATGTGAGGCGATCTCATAATTTCTATCGTTCCTTCAGAAGATCGAACGGGATCTAGAATGATAGGTAACTATTGAAAGGGAAGCAACTAAAGCTGGTGTAATAATATTTAGCTAAAAATTCAATTCTTATCTACTGACCATACATCATCTAGTCAAATCCTAATGACAATAATCACAATACTTTAGAAATTATTATCTAGAAGGGGGGGGGGGGGGATATAACTACTATTAATTAGATATTACAAACTTGATTTTTATGTTTTTTAGGGGTTATTATGTCTTTATAGATGAAGGGTGATATATTAATGTAGGAAAGGAACTTGTATGGTTAGGACCACAAATATTGTGAAGAGGGACAGGCTAATGGCTATACAAAGGGGAGTAGCCCACACTAATTTTTGCAAGTCAGGCCTATTTAGTTGATAAGTCATTTTCTCTCTTTCCCCCCTCTCAATTTTGGCCTCACATAGTAGACATCATGCTTTGGACATGAATGTTGTTAGTGTTATCAACAAAAGTTATAGCGAAGTGGTAAGTATTCTTTCATTCTTAATCAGAAGTGTCACATTCGAGTCCCCTTGGGTATGGAGTCGTCTTTGTTAGGGAGCATTTTATCCCCCAATGTGGGATTTCTTGATGCGAATTCAAATTTAATCGGACTCTAATATGAATACTGAACATTGAGTAAGAATTTTTTTTAAAAAAAAAGGTTGCTAGGGTTCAAAACCCTTCATTTGTACAAAAATCAATTAAAAAACACCCTCAACTACCTCCCTAGGGTAAAACTTCTCCGTGCGGTGTCTATGCTTATATTAAATCAATTAATATATGACATGTGTCTATACATAAAATTCAATTACTTTAATTATGGTTAGTTAATATATACTATCATCTTGTTAACCATGGTGAGTTAACATGGTTATCGGTATCAACATCAAGTGGCATGTGTGTATAGGTATTTATATTTACCATATAGAAACCTAAGCACTCCAATCAGGGGCGGAGCCACAATGGTAATTGTGGGTTCGACATAATGTAGTAGCTTTGTATTCTGGCGAGAATAACTCAAGAATATTATTACTAGACTAGTGAAGTTTTTATCGCAATAGGTTTCAATCTTGTTACCGAGAGCGAGATATCATGACTATTTTATGAATTTATCCCATAAAACCTTCTTTTGAACAGAAAGAGGCTTTTGTTACCATTATTGGGCTTTTGTTTTCAAATTATCATTCATTGGGTTCATGTATATATGTAAGGGCCTAATATTGTGGCCCATTAAGAAATCTTTATGTAGCCCAGAACAGTGCTCCTTCACATACATTTGATGTTTTCATATTCATACGTATACATTTAATAACTTTTGCTTTGAAAACACATACATACACATATCGTTAAAATCAGACATTGTATTCGCGTGATTTCAATTAGGATTAGATATTTGGTTGCGCGCAAATATTATGTATTTTAAGGGGAAAATCTCAATATATATTGCAAAATTAAATTCGGACACTAAATAACACTTATATTAGTAAAAGATCTCTGTTATCAATTGAAACATGAAAAATTCACAAGTTTTTTTGTTTTGATAATTATGATATTTAGGACCTCCTTGCACATATCTCAACTAGCTTCATAAGACATTTGTCATCTTTTGTTAGTAACATGTACTAAATAATTCTGTTCACTAAAACTTGAATGAATGAAAAGAAATCACTTATTAGACATTATTTGTCTCTTTTAACATTGTAACACATGCATAAGCTAAATGATTACACTGAAATTGACTAGTAGATAAATAACTAAATAAATATTATGTGATAATGTTGAGTTATTAAATGATTACACAGACGGCGAAGATCTCATACTAATAACTAAGTATATTTTTTTACCTTATCTTGATCGATCACAATTTGATGTTTGACCCTGTTCTTTTAGAGTCATACGAGTTATATTGAAATAACATTAATCATGATTAATATTGTCTAAACTTCTGATCTTTTCATGAATATAATTATTCTTCTAAATCATGTTTTTAGAATGCCATTTGATATTATCTTTATTATTTCACTTTTAATCTCTTCTTTTTGTTACATATCGGTTCGTGATTCATCCGGATATGATATCTGATTAGGACTTTGACCCTATTTTAATCAATCACAATCTAATGTTCGATCCCTATACTTTCGAAGTTAGACAAATTTTCTTGAGATGACACTATCTACCCTTTTTCGATCACACTTTGATAATAACATTTGAAATCATCTTTGTTGAGCCTTTTTGGTTTTGTTCTTTCTGCCACGTATCAGTTCGTGATTCATCCATGTATCGTGG